CGGCAGAGCCCAGCCAGGCTGCCCTTTGCCGCGGGTGGTGAGGGGCACCCGGACCCGCCCCAGGCCTGTGGAGTCTGACAGCGACAGCGCCTCACCTCTGAGGGCAGCCCCAGGCCCCCGCTCTCTGCTCTGTCCCCCTGGGCTGGCCTGGGGAGCCGGGTGGACGCGAAGGCCAGCCGCCAAGAGCAGCGGCGCCAGAGCAGCGCGGTTTCCGCAGAGGCCACAGTGCGGTCCCGCTGGAGTCATCCCAGAGCTGTGGGCCCGCGGGGGGAGGCCCCGTACCCCCATCTGCGGGGACCGGCTTGGCACGGCACCCGTGGGGGTTACCGCGTCCAGGCGCCCAGGAGCCTGGCTGCGGTGGCGCCCGCGTGTTCTCACCCGGGGCTCCTGAGGACGCCTCACGGTCAGGAGCAGAAACCCTGGCCCTCGGCGGCCTGTGTTGGGATGACGGGAGTGCGAGAGCTGCGTCCTGAGCCCTGGGACGCCCCGGAGAGTTCGGCCGGGGGCCTGGGGCCAGCCAGGATGAGGGCACAAGCCCGCCCGCCCGAGGGACAAGGCTGGGGCTGAGTCCAAACCAGTGGCGGCCCGGGAGACCCAGAGGGCTGACGGCAGCGCGCGCGAACCACACGGGGGCGCCACCGGGCGCGGACTCGGGGCCTGCGCCCGTCAGCCCGTCAGCCCCTCGGCCGGTGGAGACTGAGCGCAGAGCCCGGTGGAAGTGGGAGCACCTGAGGGTCCCTTAAGTGGTGGCCGCCGCGGCTGGACCCAGCCGACCCTACGCCCTCGGCGGTGTCCACAGGGTGGCTCGCCGGGTGCGGTACACCCGGTACACCCTCCTTGCAGGGGACACCGCGGCCGGCACGGCGCCGCCTCCGCCCACACCCAGACCCGAGGGCGAGGGAGCCGCGTTACTGCCCGTCCCCTGGCGGCCACCCCACTCCCTGGGCAGCGTCGCGGGTCCTCGGGGATCAGCGAGCGCACACGGCCCCTGAGCGCAGAGCTGGCTCCAGGCTTCCGCGGGATGGAAGCTGTCGCGCCGGCCGGAGCGAGCCACTGGCCCCCTCTGGATCTCACAAATGCAGAGGGGCTCGCAGGCCCGGGGCCCCGCTGGCCAGCGCCGGCCATGCCTCTGCTGCCAGGTGCCCTGTGGCCGCCGTGGCTCCCCGCATGGCCCTCCTGCCCTGACTGTCCAGTCGTCCTGACCCTGACCGACGGCGCCGGCCCCTCTCCAGGCTTCCTTCCTGCTGGGCGTGGCCAGCGCTGGCCTTGAAGGGCGCGTTACACCGGCACTCGCTGGCAGGACACCGCGGGTGCCCGCGGCCTGGGGCTCTGGGTCTGGGGCAACCTGGGCCGGGCCAGGTGGCATCCGAGTGTTGGGAGGGCGCTCGCCCGCCCCGCGGAAACCGCTGGAGGCGCCGGGGTGTGGGGGCGGGCAGCTGGGGGCAGACGGTGACACCTTCAGCTCTGGCCTGGGGGCCACCCCGGCACCTTGGGGGCCTGCAGCCCCCAGCCTTGTTCCTTGACCCTACCCACTTACTTCATGTCCCAAAAGGGCTGATTCACCCATGCACACTGGGGCGCCGGCCGGAGCTGTGGGTGAGGGGACTCGCGGAGGGCAGCGGACCAGGCCCAGACACTGAGGGCACTGCGGGGACTACTGGCCCGTCAGCCCGGCGGCCCCTGCCCAGGCGCGCGAGCCGCGGGCCTCCATGGAGCCCTGTGTGGTTTTTGTCGCGGGAGCAGGGAGCGACGGCTGCCCATGTCTGCTCGGCCCCTTCCCCACTTCGGGGCGAGTGTCTGTGACGCTCTTCCCACAGGGGTGGAGTCACCCCCAGGCCGGCGGACGGCCAGTGTCGGCTCTGGGACAGTCGGAACAGCCACTGCCGCGGGGCTGCGTGGGAGGCC